GGCCCAGGGAGGCAGACAGCAGGGCATGCTGTGGTCCAGTAGCCGGGGCATTCCACCCCTGGGCCGCCCCCAGGCAAGGTGGTGGAAGGTTGGAAAGGTCCGAAATGTTCTAACCAAGGGAGTGACTTGGTCAGTGCTGGGTCCTACAAAGATTCCTCTGGTGGCCGTGTGGACAACCTCAAGGGCGGTCATCCACTCTCCCTGGACATGGTCTCCAGGTGTGCACGTGTGGGTATTTGGGCAGACTGGCTGTTCCAGATTTGGGACATAAGAAGACAGGGAGGGACAGACACAGTGGCTCATGCCTGTAATCCCAGCACGTTGGGAGGCCGAGGCAGGAGAATCACATGAGGTCAGGAGTTTGAGACCAGCCTGGCTAACATGGCAAAGCCCTGTCTTTATAAAAATATAAAAATTAGCCAGGTATGGTGGTGGGTGCCTGTAATCCCAGCTACTCGGGTGGCTGAGGCAGCAGAATCACTTGAACCTGGGAGGCAGAGGTTGCAGTGAGCCAAGATCACACCACTGCACTCCAGCCTGGGCAACAAAGCAAGACTCTGGAAAGAAAAAAATAATACAGACAAAAGGGAAACTCTCACTTATTGAATGGCTACTAAGTATTGCTGTTTCAACATATTATCTCTTCTACTCCTTCCAACGATCCAGTAGTTTACAGATGAGAAAAGCTAGGTTTACAGAGGTCTAGTAACTTACCCAATGTCACACAGTTAATATCCTACACAACTCGCACTGAGCCCTGCTTGCCTGCCTCAGAAGCCCAAACACCACACCACCATGTGGAGGAACTGAAAGGCCCCTATGGGCGTGAGGCAGAGGCCTTCCCATCTGACTCACGCTACGGGTGTGAGAACTCCCGTTTCCATTTTCAGACTCGTGCTGCACCCTTCTTTTCCCAGGCCACCTCACAGCACAGCAAATGCAAATTAAAAATATGAATATTGACATCAAAATAGTAACCAAAGTTGGAATTTCAGTGATTGAGGCTGCAGCGTATTTTAATGTGTCGGGAGACAGGGAGCTGACAGTTGTGTGATAAGGTGTGAAAGCATCTGTTCTACAAGAGTCTACCTAGCTCTCCCTGCCCCACGCACACTTACTCACTCCCTTCAATGGGAACTGTTTGGCCAGAAATTCAAGCCTCTGTGAAACCAACTGTGAATTTGCTCCTTTCAACCACAGAGACTCTAAATCAACAAGCTCAATTTGTCTTTTAAAGATCAAAGATTTGTAATCCCAGCACTTTAAGACGCCTAGGAGGGAGGATCGCTTGAGCCCAGGAGTGTGAGACCAGTATGGGCAACACAGCAAAACTCTGTCTCTAAAAAAAAATTAGCCAGGCATGGTAGAGCATGCCTGTCGTCCTAGCTACTCCAGAGGTTGAGGCAGGAGGATCCCTTGAGCTTGGGAGCTCAAGGCTGCAGTGACTGCACCACTGCACTCCAGCGTGGAAAACAGAGTAAGACCCTGTTTCAAAAAAAGAAAAAAAGAAAATAAAAAGACAAAAGATTCAGAAACTTTACAAAGTGCTGTGAAATGGGCCCATTTGGCTAAATCATTTTGATATTGAAGAAAAAGAAAAATTTCAGGGGTTCCTCAATAGGCAAAAGAGGACATCCTATGTGAATATCTTAACATTGCCTGAGGGTGAGGAGAAATGTATTTGCACCACTGCTTTTAAAGCAGGGCATTCTCGTGCCAGCCCCGCCTGGTGCTGCAGTGGAATGCAATTTGTTGACAGTCACGAGCCCACCCAGGAGGCATTCTTCTGCAGGGAGACACTCCAGATGAAAGCACTACACTCTTCCTTAGAAAGCGATGGCTGGGTAGCATCTTTGCCATTTCTTCTTTTTCCTAATTTTGAGCAAGTCACACTTCAAAGGAGGCCAAGCTATGGAAGAACCTGACCATCTCGCTCCATTTATCTAGAGAAATATGTTATCCATCCTTCTTTTTTTGTTGTTGGGTTGAAGCAGAGCAGGTATGGAATAAAGCCACACCACTGGATCTATTAACAATTATTTGCCAATGGTCACACGGATATCCTGAAAGCTCTGATTTCAGATGCTTTGAAAATGTGCGGCACAAATGAACAAGGGATGGAGAAGGGGCCCAGCTCAGTCATATTAGAGATGGACCCTCCACACACCATGGTGACCTCTCCACAGGTCGGCCCCACATTTTCTATTTGCAATTCAAACCCAAGGCAAGGGTGAAGAGGGCAAGCTTGGGTTCTTGATTATATCTGCGAGGTCACCATTGCTATGCAGAGTTAGAGGAGGCCAGGTGGCAACCCAGCACATTTGAAAATTGGATCTTTGTTGGGAATTGCCTCGATTTCGTGGCAGAAACCAAACTTGAGATGTCTATATTAGAGGCATCTGGGGTACATTCACGAGGTACATTTGTTGCCTGATGAAGGGGAGGGAGCAGAGGGGAGAAGGACAAAAACAGCCAAGGAAATATTTTCTACTGCTATGTGAGGTCAGGTGCAGCCAAATCCTAAATTAGCTCAAGAAAAGGAGCTGGAGAGTGCTGGAGCCCCAAGTCCCGTAGATGCGAGCAATGCTAGAGTTTCAATTACAAAATAGCTCTCTTCCAAGAACAACTGCAAAATATCAAGTCTGTAGAAATCTGTACGACCGAAGGGGGGAAAAGTGAAAATTGAAAAGGGTGCACTAATAGATCTGTCAACAGTCCGATGGTGACAAGCCACATTTCTATAAAATGCCTTCACCATTTGTGTCACCTGAAATGTACTGACACTCTCTATAGAACATTATCTCCTGAAGCTATTCTTGAAAAGACTGGCAGGGGGAAGGGAAGGGGAGGGAGACATCTGCTTTAGATACTATCAAGGAACAGAAAGGGAGATAGTGTGTAAGGAAAGTGATCTAGATTGTTTAAACAAACCTTTGAAGAACCACACTTAAAAATCTGAGCTTAACTGGTTATTTGCAGAAATGTTACATATCATAAGAAGGGGATTTTCCTAAGGCCAGAGGCTTGTACATACAAGTAGGGAGGTAAGGTGATGTCTGTAGCTTAATGGTCTGCAGAGAGGGCAACTGCCCAATGAGGGTGCATGGGGCCTCTTCCTGAGGAGGGACCACTTTCTTTGCTTACTTCAGGGGATATTCTAATACCAACCAGAACCTACCATCCAGGCATCAAGGAGGGAAAACTCACTGCTCCCTGCCACTACGTTTTATATCTGCAGTCCAATCAGCTACATGCAACTGGGATGGGAGATAAAAAGGTATATTTAGGGACTTAAATAATATCCAAGTAAAGAATGCCACCTGCCAGTCTCTGGCAGGGTGCAAACAGACTACAGTTTAAGGTCTATCTGGATTTACATTACAGAGCTTTTATTTCAGGATGTGAATCTCAGCTGCTAAAAATCCACTCTCAGCTGAAACTAAGGATTTAAATGCTTAGTCAGAGCAAATTATTTTCCAATTAAAAGAAAGGAATCAATTCCTTCGACCCTTTCAAGTTAATTAGAGGTCCTTTCTGACTTCAGAAAATTAAAACTGCTTTCAATTTTTTAAAAACTGCAGAGATAGACAAAGGCCCTTATTAGTGTGGTGCATTTGGGGGCACAGGGATAATGAAGTAGGGGATCCCAAACATCTTTTGGAAAACAAAACACTTGTTTGAGGAAGGCAGTGTGCATGTGGTAGTGGTAAGAATGCACAGCCGCCACAAGGTGACGGAGCTGGAATCCAATCCCGACTCTGCTAGGCTCAGGGTGGCCTTTGGCAATGACTTCACCTCTGAATTGCAGTCTGTTTACTTGTGAAATCGGAACAATACTCCATTGGGCTGTTCTGAGAACTAAGTGAGAAAGCTCCTAGCCTGGACCATCCTTAACAGAAGCTTAAAGAAGGGTGGCAACATAATAATATTAAAAAGTCTCTGTTAGAGTCACCTCACTGTCTCAAGTCTTGAAATTCAGGCTGGGGGCATAAAAAGGAATGACTTAATGGCATTCGCAGCAACCTGGATGGGATAGGAGATGCTTATTCTCAGTGAAGTAACTCAAGAATGGAAAACCAAACACTGTATGTTCTTAGTAACAGTGGGAGCTAAGCTATGAGAATGCAAAGGCATAAGAATGATACAACAGACTTCGGGGACTCAGGGGGAAAGGCTAGGAAGTGGGTGAGGGATGAAAGATTACAAATTGGGTTCAGTGTATACTGCTCAGGTGATAGGTGCACCAGAATCTCACAAATCACCACTAAAGAACTTACTCATGTAACCAAACACCATCTGTTCCCCCAAAAGCTTACAGAAATAAAAACATTAAAATAAAATAAAATATAAAAAAGTCAGATTAAAGAAAACAAGAGATTCAGGCTGGGGCAGTCTTAGCCAGGACATAGTTGGGATGATAGCCCAGTTTTACCGGTGGCGGGTGAAGACAATCAGAGCCCTCTCCTTCCCACTCAGAGTCTCAACAGTGCCCACTGGGTTCTGCTCACTTAAGTCCCCCAGGGCAAGGTAAGCCCATGGCATTCTACTCAGCCCCACCTGCTGTGCTGTGCCTGCATGGTGGCATGTGCTGGACCATGGCAATCATTCCCTGGAGATGCTTCTTGGTTTTGGTTACCACCAGCCCTCGGGCAGACGTCGGCCTTAGGGGGTGGGCAGGTGCCAGATGGCGATGCCAAGCCAATTTCTACAGACGCCTGTGAACCCAGGCCTGGTGGGGTGGGCAAGGGACAGCCCGACAGTGGTAGCTCTGAACTTGCTTGCCTTTGTGGGTTTAAGCCAGAGTCTTAATGTTATTTGAAGACAGTTTTTTGTCTGTGAATATTTATAACAGTGTGAAAACTCCCGGACAGCTGGTAATGCATTTTGAAGTGTGTTAACAACACTGTATCAAACAGCCCTCTATTGATCCCATCATACTTTTTTGTGGCCATGCATTTCATACACGGTGCTTATACATTTTGAATAAGAACTTCAAGTACCTTTTGCTTCAAGCGGTTTTTCACCTCTTTTATTCCCATTTTTGCATGATCTTTTGCCTGCATGAAAAATTAATTTAAGTTAAGATTCCCTTTCTGTTTCCAGCAGGGACTATGCTTGATTTCAGTCCGCCGAGAATCACTTTCTCTGATTACTAGAAAAAGGAAGGAAAAATGGGATCATCAAGTCGAAAACATAATGGCTATGAAAACAAATACAACGGTAAAAGGTTTAAAAAAAAAAAACCTTAAAGAGGCTGCAGAGATTTTACTTTCTGCATTTTGATGGCACAGATTTTTTTTTTTCTTTTCCTTCCAAAGCCCTTCTTCTGCTCTCTATAATTATTTATCTCGGCAGCCTGGTGACAGCTACTAGTAAGAGTACAGCAGCCACGTTTCTGGCTGCAAGATTCAGAATATCCATTCTATGTCACCAGTGCAGGGCCCCAGGACCGATTTTCTGCCCAGGCTGAATGGCCGGAACAGACACGTTGCTGGGTTTCTACCATGTCATTTCCTAAACCTCATTTCGGCAGATACCCTGGCTTTGATTTCGGGTCATATTAGACCTGTGTGGTTCTGCTAGCAGCCACCAACCCTGCTAAAATAACTACAGTTTAAGCACAGAGAGCACTAACAAAATTAAAAATGGAAATAAAGTAGAACCACCCCACTTCAGTGGCTCACGGTCAAATTAGCAAGGAAGAGAAGTCACAAGAAAAAATACTTGATGCTTGTGAAAGATGGAGTGCCAGGAACAGATGTGCTCTCCTATTTCCACTTGGCTGTGGACATGAGTCTTACAAATAATGCATTACCTATAGGGCAGTGATCAGAGAGATGAAGAAGAATTTGGGACAAAAATTAAGCGGTGTATCCCACCACAAACACTCTTCAGTCACCTGCAAAGGAGCTGCTTTTGACCCAATACGGGGGATGCCTGCAGGAAGGCTTTGCCAGACACCAGACAGACCATGCTTCTGGGTCTCGGAAACAGAGGCAGGGTGCAGCCTGAATTGCAGCCATCTAGTTTACATTTTAAAAGCTAAAACCAGTAGCCTCCCATTTCTCTACTGTGGCAAATGTGAGCAGCAACACTATATATTAAAAATGTCACTGAACTGGTTATAAAATCTGCTAAATAATTTGGAGAACACTGAGACCTTTAGGAAAGAGCTCAGCAGCCTGAGTCATCTTGGCAATAGAGGACCAGGTACACTTAAGAGTTTCATTGCTTGGCCAGATGCAGCAGCTCATGCCGGTAACCGCAGCACTTTGGGAGGCCAAGGCAAGAGGACTGCTTGAGCCTAGAAGTTCAAGACCAGCCTGGGTAACATAGTGAAACCTGTCTCTACCGGAAAAAAAAAAAAAAAAAAAGCTAGGCATGGTGGTGTACACCTGTAGTTATAGTTACTCGGGAGGCTGAGGTGGGAAGACTGCTTGAACCTTGATGGTCAAGGCCGCAGTGAGCTGTGATCATGCCATTACACTCCAGCCTAGGCAACAGAGAAAGACCCTGTCTCAAAAATAAGTAAATAAAGAGTATCATTATGCTAAGGGACTGATTTGTTTGGCTCCTGAGAGCAAGACCAGTACTTACAAACTTGTAGACAGTCTTCATGGCTGGGTTTGCTTTTGTCTTTACAGTATTGAGAATTGCTCCACTTCCTTTCTACAATAAAAATGTCAATTAGCAATTTGGGCTGATGACAGAGTCATCTAACACCAACAAAGACTGCTTCTCTTCAATCAAGTTAAGCAACATTTCAAAGGTATGTAAATTCACATCAAGAAACAGGCCTGGATGATAACTGGTCGCAGCCAGTTAGTGATGGTCATGGCGGAGCAGCTCTGGGTGGGTGTGTGTGGGCTGGGGCTGCAGAGTGTGATTCCTTGTAGAGGGGGACTCTGGGCTCCATGTTCTGCTTGGCACCTGTTCCCTGACTGGAGGGAAGTGGATCACAGGCTGCCTAGGGCAAGGGCTTCCCTATGGGCATGTGTGGCTTTTCAAGAAATTCCAGTTACCACGGATGACACTCAGGTAAGTTTAATAACTGTGGACTCCACAGCTGACACCAAGCCGGGACAGAAAGCGGGGCCCTGATCAGCCAGGATAGTTGGAAAATACACTGCCCTCACCGTGCAACTTCCTTTTCTTGCCTTGGTTTTCTGTGTTGTTTTTTTAAAATCTCTCTGGTAGGCTGCCTTCCTTAACATCTAAATCTTGAGAAAAGGAAAGAATGAATAGCCACAAATGTTCACCATGGCTTTAGTTGAATCCAACACAGCAATTTCCTGTCCACTTTCTTTAGGAGCAAAAGTGGGAGGAAGGAGGAGGGAAGGCTTTCCCGCAGTGGAAGGACCTGAAGTGCATAGGGGACGTTTTCATAGCTGTCCGTGAATCCATTTCTCAGTCTCATCCCTGCTGACACATCGTGAGGGTTCTGAAGGCAGTAGGCCAAGGGAGGCCTGGTCTCTGCCTTCTAAAACATCCAGTTGGAGAGGCAAGACAGCGCAGTAAATAACCACAACAGCAGGTGATGGTGGCTGCTATGGCTGTGTGCAGAGGGAGTGTGCAGACCTGGAAGATCAGGGAAGGCCTTGGAGGATGAGACATTTGACCTGGCCCATGAAGGATAAATAGGAGTTGATGTAGGAGAGGGAGGAGAACATTTTAGGGACAGGAAATAGCACATAAAAAAAGTGCAGAAGCTGAAAAGCCATGGTTTATGCTGTGACAAGTGGCTACTGTACTGTACCATGATACACTCCCATGAGTATATCATGAGAAAAGCAGTAAGCGAGGCTGGGAAGCCAGTTAGGGCCAGCTCATGAAGGGCCTGGAATGCCAGGCTAAGGGGTCTACAGTGTGGAGTATTTTAAATCAAATTCATCACAGAATCAGGTCTGTGGTAGTTTAAAAAAACCGATTCGGATGGAGAGAGGCTGGAACCAGTGGGTACCTAAGAGAATAAGACATAGTAATGTAATTATTGGCCTTAACTTTTAGCACAATTTTTGGTGACTGCCCACGTTAGACATTTTGCGCTTTAATTAAAAACATTACAATTTGACCTAGAAAGCATTCTATGTTGTAGGACAATAGGAAATTTTCACCCACTCATTTATTCCATACTGCTTTCCAAAATTACTCAGTATCCCATTTAAATGGTCCTTTGGAGTATTGAAACTCCCTTTATCAATCAATCAACAAGTCCTTATTACTCCTCTCTGATTTGCCAAGTGCTGTGTTTAGCCATACAAGAGGAACAAAGGGAGTCTTTCATGGAGGAATTGCTTACTCTCCGCCAACTGCAGCCACTTCCAAGGGACTCGCCTGGCAGCAGTGCGCTGGCGCATAAGCAGGAGGGAACACTTATCACTTAATGCTGGCGTTGCCTGCTACGTGCCCGCCTCTCCAGCAAAACAGGGAGCTCCCCCAGGGAGGGCCTGTACCCTGCTCCCTGCGGCATCCCCAGGATGCAGCATGGTGCCTGGCACACAGTAGGCCTTCAGGACACCTCAATTATAAGCTGATGGAAGGGAAAGGCAAGATTTCAAATTCTTTAGCGGCTTCAGAAGCCCTATGCACCCGGCTCCTGACATAACAAGACACTGTTCACAACAACAGTCAACCTCCCAGTGATGTGTTCTCCATCTTCCCAGGAGAAGAGGTTACACAGCAGCAAGGGGGATGCATGTTTGGTTTGCCCGCAATCATGACAATTGCTCTGGCCCTAGAAGGAGACCCGCAACTAAATTCTCTAAGACAACAACATTCCATTCAGCTTTCCTTGGCTGGCTTCCTGCAGAGGAGGAAGCCTCTCATGCCTTTTTCTGCCCCTACCAAGTGATGGCTTTGGACAGTTCCATCCTTCTAGTCTCCATCTGGCATGAAAGGAGCCTAGCTTTACAAAGAAAGGCATCTCCAGCAGAGGGAATGGAGTGCTCTGGGCTGCACAGGGAAGCGGAAGGCTGCCAGGAAGCCAAGGAAGGAGTCCAGGGGGCTCAGAACTGGATGCACTTACCCGGACAGTGGAGAGCCACTGATGGTATAGTTTGTCACTGCCTGGGAAAAGAGAATTCAGAGAAGCTGTTACTTAAAGAGGTGATTTGCCCTCGGGAGGTCTTGAAATTGCTTTTTTTTTTTTTGAGATGGAGTCTTACTCTGTCACCCAGAATGGAGTGGAGTGGCGTGATCTCAGCTGCTGGGTTCAAGCAATTCTCCTGCCTCAGTCTCCTGAATTACAGGTACCCGCCACCATACCTGGCTAATTTTTCTATTTTTAGTAGAGACAGGGTTTCATCACGTTGGCCAGGCTGGTCTTGAACTGATAACTCAGGTGATCCGCCTGCCTCAGCCTCCCAAAGTGCTGGGATAGCAAGTGTGAGCCACCACGACCAGTCAAAATTGCTTTCAGCATTCAGGTCTCGGAGAATTCTGTGGAGGGTCCCATGTCCTGTTCTTAAAGGAGGCGGCAGTGAGTCACTGCCATAGTTTCCTTCTCCAACAGAGCTGGTCATGCAGCGCCCTGACTGCAAGCCCTCAGCAGCTGCCCCACTGCCTGCTGGCTGGACGTCAGGCTCCGAAGCAGACCCGCCGCTCTCCTCCAGTTGTGCCTCGCGGCCTCTCCATCCTGTGCTGCTGTGACGCTACACCGCCTTATGTCCCACCAAGGGAAACTACTAATGGGCCCTTAAGCCAGCAACCTCGCAGGCTTCCAGGCCCTTGCAAATACTGCCCCCTTGCCTGGTCACCATACCCTACTCTCTCTGCTTAGTAAACCTGACCACTTGTTCAGATGTGACGTCCTTTGAACAGCCCTCTGGAATAGTTAACAGCCACTGAGACATCCATATTCTGGGAAGTACTGTGAAGGGCACCAGAGCAGGAACCCTCAGAGCTGTGTGTCCCACTCAAAGGACCCTGCTGGACACATGCTGAACCCTCGGAGAGTGAGAGGGAAAGAAAACAGAGGTGGTGTTGTTGAACTCTATTCATTTTAAATGGTGGGTCCTAACCCAGTGAATAAGTGAACTTGGTTTAGCAACACCTAAAGCCTGTCTTCGCAGAATTCACACCCAAGTGTGAGAACACAACCCCAGCCAGGCCTCCTTTGTCAAGCCCTTACATTACGCAGTGAGGATTAACAGAGCCCTATTCTAACTGCACCCAAATCTGCTTCTACTCCTTTTCCTGCATTGGTTTAATTTTTGCTTGTCTTTAGTTATGCATTTCTCTCTCCTTCCTGACTAACACTATTTGAGGGCAGAACTGGGTCCTCCATTTGTTCTCCATGGGGCTCTGGACATAGCAGGTGTTCAGGAAATGATTATCAATGACTTGCTATTGCCGTTCCTAGACTTCATGGTGGTTTTCTTGACTATGCTCTCCAAGCAGCACAGGCTGGGAGGGCCTGCAACATTTACAGGCGGACACTGTGTCTTGCTCTGTGAGCTTACAAATCACAGTAGTCCAGACCAGACACACACACAGCAACAAGGGGGCCAGCAGCATGGGTGTTATTTTGCATCTGGTTTTGCCTTCGTTGCCAAAGACTGAGGTGATAGGATTTAGAAAGAAGGTCATATTGGGATTCAGGAGGCAGACTCAGCCACCAATACCTCTCTGGGCCTCAGATGCCTCCTCTGAAAAATGAGAAAATAAGCCCTTCAGTTCTTCAGATCTACAGAAACCAGGCACTCAGCAGTAATTTGTCATATTTTAAAGAATCAGGGCCAGGTGTGGTGGTTGACACCTATGATCCCAGCACTTTGAGAGGCTGAGGCAAGTGGATCATTTGAGGTGGGGAGTTTGAGACCAGCCTGGCCAACATGGTGAAACCTTCTGTCTACTAAAAACAAAAATTAGCTGGGCGTGGTGACACGTGCCTGTAATCACAGCTTCTCAGGAGGCTGAGGCAGGAGAATCGCTTAAACCTGGGAGGCAGAGGTTGCGGCCGTGAGCCATGATCATGCCACGCACTCCAGCCTGGACAACAGAGCAAGACTCTATCTATCTCAAGAAAAAAAAGAGAAAAGAAACACTTACTGCACACAGCCCTCATGCCAGGGACTGTCCTGGATGACTGCACAAACCTTTCCTCATGTATTCTGATTTAATCTCAACAGCAATGCTGTGAGGTGGAACATGGTACTCTCAGGGCGTGGATAGGAACTTTAGCTAAAGGAGGGGCAATGACTCATGCAGGGTCTCGCAGCTTGTGAGGAGGCAGAGCCCTGACTTGAATCCAAGCCTCCTAACTGAATACTGTGTGTGCTTCCCAGTGGACCACGCTGGGCACTACTTTAACTAGACTTTGTCTACACAGGGGAAGCATCTGACCCTCGGCTGGGGGATTTCACATGGGCCAGTGCACTTTATCAGAAAAAGAAGAGGAATTCTTCAAACATTTCAAAGCCACACTGAAATCTCTCTTCCTAAGCCCCAATAAAGGAAGGGCAAGTCATTGCCACTCCTTGTCAAACACACCCTAAATGACAGCAGCCTGAAGCCCTGAAAGGAAAATGAGATGCTTCTCACCAGCGTACTCGCCCATGTTGATTTCCTCTTCAAAAACATCACTGAAACCTTCGCCGGAATTGAGAAGGTCTAATCGACCATCAATAAACTATAGAAAGAAAGAACAAAAACACAACAGCTCGTACAAAGAAAAGGGGGAAAAACCATTCAGCTGGGCACCTTACTGCATCCAAGACAGGAGAGGTCCTTTGAAATGGAGTTTTCACAAAGTGAGGTTCAACAAGAAAGTTACTTTCTAAAAAACTGGCTACATGTTTATGATAACTTGGAAAACCGCATGGCAGATTTGCAAAGGGTCTGTCTGGTCAGTGATTGCCCTCTTCACCCAATCCCCCTTCCCTGAGCCTCTTTAGCCTGTGGCCTCAGTGCTCAGACTGGAGACAGCTGTAGAAATAAATCCCCACTAGGCAGCCAGACCCAGGCCAGACCAGGGAGGGTGGCACCTGCTTGAAGAGCTGCAGCTGCGTGGCGTTTTGCAGGAACTGCCTCATGGCTCCAGAGCGGTAGTGGGACACGAAGGCTTCCTCACAGAAAGTGATCGGCTCCTCCTGGGAAGTGCAGAGGGGAGAGGAGGGTCAGAGGCACAGTGTGAGAGCCACCAGTCCTTAAATTCCTATATGCAGAGCTTCCCCATCTGCTAATGTTTTTTCTTTTTGTTTCTTTTTTTTTTTTGGAGATGGAGTCTCACTCTGTCACCCAGGCTGGAGTGCAGTGGTGCTCTCTCAGTTCAGTGCCTCTGAGCTGACAGGGTCTCACCTCTGCCTCCCGGGTTTAAGCCATTCTCTTGCCTCAGCCTCCTGGGTAGCTGGGATTATAGGTGCCCACCACCACGAGAGGCTAATTTTTGTAGTTTTAGCAGAGACAGGATTTTACCATGTTGGTCAGGCTGGTCTCGAACTCCTGAGCTCAAGTGATCCACCTACCTTGGCCTCCCAAAGTGCTGGGATTACATGGGTGAGCCACCGCACCTGGCTCCCATCTGCTAATTTTTCTAACCCTCATTAGTGAAGTAGCTATTATAAAGGAATTTGTTTTCCTTTATGGATGAGGAAGCTGTTTCAGAGAGGAAGAGTCATCCCGCAAAGTTACAGAGAGGGTGGGAGGCAGGACAGGAACCAACGGATTCTACTTCCTACCTCCTCTTCCATACCCCGAGGGCTATTTAGCGGAACATGCCCTCTAACGTGAAGATGTCCAAACTTTTCACTTTTAGCAGTGGAATCCGTTATTCAGATAGGATTTTATGCAGAAGCAGCCCTGCTAGGCCAGGCATGGTGGCTCATGCCTGTAATCCCAGCACTTTGGGAGGGTGAGGTAGGAAGATTACCTGAGGTCAGAAGTTTGAGACCAGCCTGGCCAACATGGTGAAACCCTGCCTCTGCCTCTATTAAAAATACAAAATGTCCCAAGTGTGTTGGCAGGCGCCTGTAATCCCAGCTACTTGGGAGGCTGAGGAAGGAGAATTGCTTGAACCTGCGAGGCAGAGGTTGCAATGAACTGAGATGGCATCACTGCACTCCAGCCTGGGAAACTGAGTGCGACTCCATTTAAAAAAAAAAAGGATTTTATACAGAAGGAGCCCTGTTACCTGAGCTCCACAATGCACAGCTTGGCTGCTGTGGGGGGCCTGGGAGTAGAGCAGAGGAGGTGGCTGGGCTCTCCAGGCTTGGACACCTTCTCATCCCCCCACATCCCAGGCATCTTTGCAGTACCTAGGCCACTGGCTGTGGGACATATTTTGAAAACCGTTTACACAGTGATCTTAACCAATAGCAACCTGAAATTTAAAAATAATTATTTTAAAGAATAGGGATGATAAAAAATAAAATACACTATCTAATCGATTTTGTGCTTGTGCTGTTTGATAAGTAAGTTGGCTTTTACCAAACCATATGAGTCAAAAAGATGATATCCTGAGTTTAAAAAAAAAAATCCTATCTGTATAGAGTTAACACCTTAATCTTTCTTTGAACACGTCTGGAGTGCTTATCTACACAGACAAGCCTTTAATTTCAGCGGTGTATTCTCAATTCTGAAAGATCAGACTTTCATATCTTGAGCTGAATTAAGGGTAACACCCCACCCCCACCCCCAGCCTCGGTAGCAAACACAGAGATGTTTGAAGCTCCACTTTTATCCTATTTTAATGAGTTGTGTGAGTGTTAAATTTACTGTCGAGCTTCCGTAAGTTCTAAGAGTTCCTCCTGCTTAAATCTAGCCAATATTAACTCAGAAACCAGGCAGCCTTATTGCACAAGGGCTGTGAGGATGACCCAAAAATATTAGGGTAAGGAGAATACTTATTTTTATACAGTTACACCCTACCTAATTTTACAAAGGATCTGAGGCAGCTTATATGAGCATCTAAAGCAACAAAGAAAAACATCAGGGCTGCAAAATACATAGATATATAAAAGTATTTATTTGGGAAAAAAAATATGGGTATGTAGGTCCTGTGTGGTTTCTAAGTTAAGTTACAAAATTAGCTCTGAGCTTCCTGGCTGCTAGAGCAAGAAGGAAAACGACACAAACTTTACTTTGTGTACAAGAAAAAAAACAAAACAAAAACAAAAACAAAAAAAACCACACAGTAGTTCCTTCGGAAAAATAGCTTTATGTGCCATTTATTACTTTGGCATGGATTTACATCTTCCTTGCTCAACAGCTGAGAAACCCGCTAGTGATAACTAACAGAAGCCCAGCTAGAATTTTACCCGTGGTTCGAAGTTTTGGTCTCACTCTTGGGACCACAGCAGGGGAAGCAATTCTGTCTCCAGGTGATCTCATCCATGCACATAGCATCACTCACACACTGATGATTGCTGACAAATCCTGGCAGCTCAGACACCTTTCCGAAGCTCTAGACCCATCATCTCAACCTCCACCTGATGATCTGCTGGTGTCTCAAGCTCAAAATAGCCCCAAACTTCCAATTACTATCCCATCAAGACTGCACCCCAAATGTATTTGTGTTTTTTTCTTAGCTATCATTATCCATGGTTACATGCAGTGGACCTATCAAACTTCCCAAGCCCTTCCTATTTTATGTGTGAAGTGTCTCACGCTCACCCCTGGCTCTCCAGTCCACTCCCTTGGCATAGGCCTGGACAGGCATAAACCACAGCCGAGGTTTAACGCCACATCTCTGTCCTGTTTCATCCCTCCCGTTCTCCTCCAGCTCTTCCGGCTAGAGTGCTTTCTAAAACACAAATCAAACCATGTCACTATCCTACTCAGGAACTCTGCACAGATGTTACCTTTGTGTGAGTATTTGACTAATATTCGTCTCTTTTTCCACTAGACTATATGCTCCACACAGGCCAGAATGGCATCTGTGTTGTTCAATGTTGTGCACCTAGCAACATGTGTGGCACACACAAGGGCCCGATATAGGTGAGGAAAGGAAAAGTTCCTTAACCAGCAAACGGACCCCCCAAAGCTGAGCCTGGCTTGCTTTCCTAGAGTCCTTCTGTGTCACTTTGCCTCTGGTCTTCCGCATACCTCATGCTCCAAACACATCCTGTGATCATGTGCCACATCCTTCCTTCCCCAACTTCTTCCTTGCTTTTGCCATTCTATTCCTTCTGCTTGGCCCGTCCTCCTGACACACGCAGGCCTCTGTGTGGCAGTCACTCATCCCTGCTCGCTGCTCCCATGGTGCCACATGCACTCCTGGGTTCTGGGGCAGTTTTCGCTGGTATCCCCTCTCACCAGGAGCTTCAGGGGCCAGAGGCTGAACCCATCGCTGCGCTCCCCGGGCAGACCCCGACTCCTAATTAGAAGCTCAGGGATGTTGGTTAAAGAACCATAAAATGAGCTGAGCCCTGCTTCCAGCCACCGGAGCCTTGTGGTATCAGTGAGTCTCTGACACTGCTTGGCCTGATGCCAAAGAGATCTCAGAGCACGATGCCATGCGAGTGCCACCGTGCACGGGGAGTTGAGCTGCTCCGAGGAAATGCTCACTGACGTTGTTGGCATCCACTCCTGGAGCTTTGGCCCAGGGTTGCCAGGAAGAAGTCTGCTGAGGGCCCTATATATTCAAGGGAGTTTGAGACCAGATTTGTAAAGGAGGGTAGCCGGCGGCAGAATTTAGCTGCAGGAGAGCAGAAAGAATCTCACCTTTGGGGAGACATGAACATTTTTGGCCTTCTGTCTACTCACAGGAGGTGATATCTCCTTGGACCAGATGTCTGTGCCATAAAAACACAACTGGACATGGCCATGGATGGGAAAGATTCAGGGGAAATGTGACAAGGGGCTTTTTCTGAAAAGACCTTAAAGAACAGCATCAGATGTGTGAATAAGACATGGGAAGAAAGACTACCACAGTGTAGTGTTGCCAGGGTGGGGTAGAGGGAAGTGTCCACAGGAGTCCAAAGAGGAAAAGGCTAATCCTCCCAGGGCGGCAGGTCAGAAACCACGGTTAAGTGGACACTTTGGCTGGGCCTGGAAGGATGAATAGGAGTTAGGTGAGCAAAATGTCTGTTCAGGGCCAAACTCTTCTATCTTAATCCTGCCGCAAGGCAGTGACGCTGTCACCCAGAACCACGCATAGAGGTCTAAACGGCACCAGGCACAGAAGGCTCTTTTCCCTGGAGCAACTCGCCTTGTGAGACAAAGGCAATAATTATAGTTTAACTCTGTGGGAGGCACAGTGAAATGCACTTCACAACTCTTTTTAACATTCTGGAAATTTTCATGAAGTCGAAATTACACTCAACTTTTACAGAGGAATAAATGAGGTAAAGACATCTGCCCAGGTGACAGGGTTCAGATGTGGCAGAGTCAGGATTAAAAGCTAGTGGCTCCCAGGCCCAGGTGTGCAGCATGCATGTGGCTTCTCCCTGTGGCCTCAGTCCTAACTGCTTGCCCTCAGACCTCCCTGGACAAGAGAGTTCTCTTTAAAACTGGAACCCTGGCCAGGCGCTGTGGCTCATGCCTATAATCCCCGCACTTTGGGAGGCTGAGGCGAGTGGATTACCTGAGGTCAGGAGTTTGAGACCGCCTTGACCAACATGGAGAAACCTGTCTCTACTAAAAATACAAAAATTCGCCAGGCATGGTGGCACACTCCTGTAACCCAGCTACTCGGGAGGCTGAGGCAGGAGAATCGCTTGAACCTGGGAGGTGGAGGTTGCGGTGAGCCGAGATCACGCCATTGCACTCCAGCCTGGGCAACAAGAGCGAAACTCCATCACAAAAAATTAAAAAAAAATAAATAAATAAAATGGGAACCCTTTAGGTTCTCGTAGACACAGAAAGCACCAGCCCTTCAGAGACAGACAGCTCATGGGAGTAAACAAACCACTGTGAAGACTCTTTCTGCCATAGGCCCACGGCGAGATGCCGAGCCACTCCCAGCAGCTTATCCACCTGTGCCCTGCAGTGGAAATGGCGGCCCCCCGCTCCACTGTGCATGGAGAAGAGTAAGGCAAGGTGTCTCGTTATTCTCCCCTTTGTAAGAAGGGCTGATTTAGCTCTCCAAGAGGCTGATTAAGCCCTTTGTCTTAGGTGACACTCTAGGCGCTGGGGCTAGTGGCTGATAGCA